ATAACGAGGGACCTCAGAGTGAAGGTGAGGCCGCTAAGCTGCCCGCAGCATATCTCCTTCCCGTTTGCTGCAGCAACAGCCTTAGCTGCTGCTGTTGCTGCTGCTGCTGCAACACTGCAATCTGCTGTTCCCGTTGCTGCAGCAGTTGCTGCAGCAGCAGCAACTGAGGGACTCTTGCTGCTGTTGCCGTGGGTCTTGCATGCAATTACAGCACTAAGGAGGCACGCTTCTGCTGCTGCCCAGTCGGGCCAATCTGTTGCTGCTGCTGCTGCTGCTAGCTGCTGCTGCTGCTGCTGCAGCTGCTGCATCGCCGCTAGACGAGAAGCACCGCAGCGCAGCAGCGCAAGGAGGAGCTGCATCTTCACGAATTGCCTCAAAGACACCACTTCTGCATCCGCAGCAGCTGCTGCAGCTGCGTCTCCATCTGCTGCTGCTGCTGCTGCTGCTGCTGCTGCAGGTTCAGCAGCAAGGCACCCCGGAAGCTGCACGGTAAGGAGTTGATGAAAGAAGGGGCGGCTTAGAGCAGCCCAAGCGGAGTTAGGCTCTAAGGAGAGGCACTTATCAGCAGCAGCAGCAGCAGCTGCTGCTGCTGCTCCTGCTTCTGCTGCGGGCTCTGCAGCAAGGTGGCTGGAGTGCTGCAGCAGACCTTCGGGCGCTCTACCCGTGAGGCCCGCAGCCAGCAGCAACCGTGCGAGTGCCACTGCATGCAGCGGCAACTGCTGCTCCTGCTGCTGCTGCTGCTGCTGGGGGTTTGCTGCTGAGGTTCGCAGCAACTGCAGCAAACACAAGGGGCCCCCTTGGGGCCCCCAGTTGTCTATCCAGCAGAGCCCTCTACACTCAGGACAAGCTGCTGCTTCTGCAGGCAAAGGAGAGCCTTCTGCAGCAGCAGCAGCTGCTGCTGCTGCTGCAGCATCAGGAACAGGAGCAGCAGCAGGAGCAGCAGCAGCATCAGGCTGAGGCGCCGCCTCGCCTCCGCAGCTACAAAGAGAGACAGTAAACATTTGCTGTGGAGACGGAGGGAGGTGAGGAGACAGCTCAAATGCAGCGTCTGCTTTTGCTGCTGCACATACAGAAGATACACCTGGTTTAAAGAGACAATAAAGATGCAGGTCGCGGCAACCCCTTAAACGCAAACTGCAACGCCAGCAGCAACGCCCCACACCTGCTGCTGCTGCTGCCGCATCTTGTGTTGATGCTGCTGCAACACCACCTGCTGCTGCTGCTGTTGCTGTATCACCTGCTGCGGCTGGCACTCCACTGTCTGCTGCTGCTGCTGCCATTTGACCTGCTGCTGCTGCAGTATCATCTGCTGCTGCTGGTGGTACAGTGTTTACTGCTGCTGCAGCACCGTTTGGTGTCGCTGCAACATAGTTTGCTGCTGCTGCAATACCGTTTGTTGCTGCTGCTGCAGCGCTGCCTCCTCCATCGGCTTCCATTGCTGCTGCGTCTGATGCTGTTGCTGTTGTCCTCGCTGCAAGTGCAGCACAACAGCAGCAGCAGCTGTTGCTGCTGCAGCGGCAGTAGTAGCTGCAGCAGCAGCAGCAGCAGCAAGATCAGCACCTGTTGTTGCTACCGCTGAAGGACACCGAGGAGCAGCCTTTAGAGAGTCAACCTAAGAGCTGCAGCAGGAGTGTAGCAGCACTAAAAAGAAGGCTTCTAACAGCTGCATCAGCAGCGTAGAAGCAGAGCAGCAGCAGAGCAGCAGCAGGAAGAAGAGCAGCAGGGATGTTGAGTAAAGGCGCTGTTGCAGAAGAGAAGAAAGAAGATCAAAGAGGGGGCCCCGGGGCCCCCCAATGTGCTGCTACTGCTGCTGCTGCTGCTGTTGCTCGAGATCAAGCACTAGAGTGTAGCAGCAGCAGCAGCAGGAAGAAAAAGAAGCAAATAAAAGTTGTTTTAATAAATAAATAATAATTATTTGCCCTTAACTAAACCAGGAACGTGTAAGAAGCACAAGAGCACGCCCTGCTGGTGCTGCTGCTACTGCTGCTGCTGCTGCTGCTGCTGCTGAGCCTGGGGCTGCGGTGTACAGACAGCTGAAGTGAGGCAGCAGGAAGAGCGGTGTCTGGGCAGAGTCTGAGGCTGTTGTTTTTCTTTTTGTTTATTTTAGGGTTTTGTTTTGTTTTATTTTATAACAAATATTACAGGCTGCAGCGTATAAAGCTGCAGGCGCAGCTAAGTGAGGCAGACGGGGCTGCTAACGAGCAGCGGCAACAGCAGCAGCAGCACGGAGAGCAGCAGCTGCAGCAGCGTTTGCGCAGTTGCTGCGTCGGCGGCTGTGGATTTGCTTACTGCCTCTTTTGTATTCTTTGTTTGACTTTAACTGGCTTTCTAGGGACAGCAGCAGCAGCTGCGGCAGCTGCAGCAACCACAGCAGCAGGAGCAACAGCAGCAGCAGCAGCAGGCGGCTGCGGGTCCTCACCTGTCTCCATCGGTTGATCAGCATCAACGCTTTGCGTTTAAATCCCTGAACAAAGGAAGTGCTTGGCTAGCCGGTTCTCACGTCTGCTGTGCTGCTGCTACTGCCGTTGTTGCTGCTGCTGCTGCAGCTCCTGCAACTCATCTTTTCTGCTGCAGCAACAGTAGCCAGCAGCACCTGCCCTCCCTCTGATCAAACCTGAATCGCAAGGCCTCCTGCAGCAGCACAACACGCAGCTTGAGAAGAAGGGGCCCCTGCAGCAGCAGCAGCAGCAGCAGCGGCTGCTGCAGCAAGGCGACCCACAGCAGCAGCAACAGCAGTAGCGGCAGCAGCAGCAGCAGCAGCAGCAGCAAAGCAGCAAGAGCATCAGCCTTCCTTATTTGATGCCTCCCAATGCATGTCTCGTCCAGGGCATCGCGGCCTCTATGGCTGCTGCGCAAGACCCTAACTCTGCTGCCAGCGCTGCTGCTGCTGCTGCTGCTGCCTGCTAACCGCTACAGCAACAGCAACACAGCAGCAAAGCCTTCTCCTCAAAGTTCTCCTCTAGGCGACTGGGGCCTTCCACTTGTTGACGCTGGTGTGTCTCCTCCTGCTGCTCTTGCTGCTGCTCCTGCTGCTGCTGATGCTGCTGCTGCTGCTGAGTAGCCCTCGTTACTGCAGCAGCAGCAGCAGCAGCAGCAGCAGCGTCTCTGATCTCAGCTGCTGCCTTCTGATTGGAGTGTTTATATTTGTGCATTGGCTTCGTCGCTTTTGATCTGCTGCTGCTGTTTCTGCTGCTACTGCTGCTGTTGCTGCTGCTGCTGTTGCTGTTACTACTGCTGTTGCTGCTGCTACTGCCTCTGCTGTCGTTGCTGCCACTGATGCTACTGTTGTTGTTGTTGTTGTTGTTGTTGTTGTTGTTGCTGCTGCTGCTGCAGCACCAAGGTCTAAGGATTACTACCAGCTGCTGGGCGTGCGGAGAAACGCAAGCCAGAAGGCTATAGACAAGGCAGGGAGACATAAACCCTAAACCCTAGCTCTAAGCCCTAACCCTAAACCCTAAACCCTAGCTCTAAACCCTAACCCTAAACCCTAGCGGTAAGCTGCGAGGCCAACTCACTAGTGGGGTTCCCAAGACGACGCTTTTGCGCTCTATTTCCTAGGGTTTAGGGTTTAGGGTTTAGGGTTTAGGGTTTGTGATTACAGGCGTACCGGAAGCTGGCGAAGAAGTTGCATCCTGATGTGGCTCCAGGGAAGGAGAAAGAATTTATGGAGATTGCGAAGGCCCACGAGGTGCTGTTTAGGGTTTAGGGTTTAGAGTTTAGGGTTTAGGGTTTAGGGTTTAGGGTTTAGGGTTTAGTGTTTGCGTTCAAGCACTAGGGTTTAGAGTTAAAGATTTTAAAAGTTTATGGTTTAGCGTTTGTATGTAAGTGTCCGTTGACCCTGAACGTAGAAATAAATACTACACTTCAGGGTTTAGGGTTTAGGGTTTAGGGTTTAGGGTTTAGGGTTTAGGGTTTGTGTTTAGGTGCTGAGTGACCCTGAGCGGAGGAAGAAGTACGATGCGTTTGGAGAGGAGGGCGAGGCAGTTTTCTCCGGTGCTGGGGGTGCAGATGCGGGTTTCCCGTTCAGCGAGTTTGTGTAAGAAACCCTAAACCCTAAACCCTAAACCCTAAACCCTAATTTGGTAGGAGCAGGAAGGATAGGTACATATAGGGTGTGGGTTTGCAGTGTTTTTTTTTGTTGTAGTGGGTTCCTTCGTGGCTCCATCTGCACAGATATGCGGGCTTAGGGTTTAGGGTTTAGGGTTTAGGGTTTAGGGTTTAGGGTTTATGTTTAGGAATTTGTTTGCTGGCGGCGGCGCTGGGTTTGGTGGTGGCGGAGGGGGGGGCCCCCAAGGAGGGGGCCCCCGTATGAAGTTTAATTTCTCAGGGGAGATGCCGGAGTATTTAAAAGGGTTTGGGTTTGAGTTCCGATCGCAGCAGCAGCAGCAGCAGCAGGAGCCTGACTGGGATGCTGATTTATATCAAGACATTGTTTATGTAGATGAGCTAAACCCTCAAAACTATGAACGAACAGTACTAGAGAGAGACAGCTTATTAGTTGTCGTTATATATAACCCTCACTGCAACCCCTGCAGAACATTCACTATGGAATTCGCCACTGCAGCACAAAGACTCTATCGTGTAGTGCCGGTGAGGGTTTAGGGTTTAGGGTTTAGGGTTTAGGGTTTAGGGTTTAGGGTTTAGGTTTCGGGGTGCAGTATTTATTGTTCAGGATTTTGCGTTTAGGGTTTGGGGTTTAGTGTTCAGGGGTTCGCGCTTAGAGTTTCTGGTTTGGTGTTTAGGGTTTAGGGTTTAGGGTTTAGGGTTTAGGGTTTAGGGTTTAGGGTTTTGGGGTGTCTGCGCAGTTTGCGGCGGTGAATTGTCGTAGCCACAAACAGGTGCCTCTGTGTCGCCGAGGCAAGCGCTATCCTTCTGTGTTTTTCTTTAGTGAAGACAAGAAGGCTGAGCCGATTCTTTATACGGGGCGCAAGTACGATAAACCCTAAACCCTAAACCCTAAACCCTAGATGGCTGGGGAGGGAGGGGGGATAAGCGCTCTGCATCGGGTGCTCTCGTCGCAAACCCTTTTTCGCCTAAACCCTAAACTTACCCTGACCCCTTCTCACATGAATGCCGCCCTTTTGTGAACCCTAGGGTTTAGGGTTTAGGGTTTAGGGTTTAGGGTTTAGGGTTTAGGGTTTGTGGTTCAGGAAGTTTGAAGATATCCTGGCTTTCATCAGCGAAAGGCTTACGCAATATCAAACTGCCCTTACATTCGATAATATGGAGGACTGGCTTACACGCAACCCCCACAAGGCTAAGGTACAAGGGTTTAGGGTTTAGGGTTTAGGGTTTAGGGTTTAAGGTTTGAGTCTGCTCAGGCGGCTCTCTCGCTGCGCGCGCAGCTCAGCAGTTTCTGTCTTTGCATTTTTGCATACTTGTTTTGTTTTTGTTGAGGAAGAGACTTTTAGGGTTTAGGGATTAGGGTTTAGGGTTTAGGGTTTAGGGCTTAGGGTTGAGTGTTTTGTTTTGTTTGCTTGTTTATTATTATTGTCTATGTTCATAGTTTTATTGTTAAAGATATTTATTTTTAATTATTTAATCTTTTACTGCCATTCTTTCTGCGTTTTGTTTGTTTATTTTTTGATGTATATATATGTATATAAATAAATCTACGTATATATAAACATGTATATATATATAAACATATCTACGTATATATATAACCATAAATATATATATATATATATATCTATGTATGTATATATATATATCTGTCTATATATATATATATATATCTGTACATATAGATATCTATATATTAACATAGATATCTATATATATCTATATATATCTATATATAAACATGCATATATATATATAAACATTCATATATATAAACATATATATATAAATGTATATATATATATATATATTTGTGCATGCATGCAGGTGATATTGTTTGCGCGTCGACGGCCGGCGCCTCCTGAGTGGTTTGTGGGGGGTTTATATTTTAAAGGACAGTTGGATATAGGGATAATTTATCCTTCAGAGAAGAGTTTGATAGACGAGTATTTTAAAGAAGAGACAGAGTTTAATGCTTATCATGCTACACCTTATTTAGATGTCCCTAGCCTTCTACTCTTAAACGATGTAGATACACTCCAAGGCGAGTGGAGGAAGCTAAGAGGCTTAGAGCCTGAGAAGTTTATATCTCTTCTTGCTTCTCTCGCTAATCAGGTATATATAATTATCTATTTATTTATTTATTTATTTATTTATTTATTATTATTGTTGTTGTTGTTAGTGTTATTATTGCTGTTGTTTAGTAGGCTATTCGCCTCGGAAAACCCTCTTTCTTCTTTTGTTTTCAGCTTCTTTGCGTATCTTTATCACGCATTTTCTTATGCTACACGAATACAAACAACCTGTCTATACACCTCAGCTGTCTATACACCTCAGCTGTCTATACACCTCAGCTGTCTATGCATCTCAGCTGTCTATGCATCTCAGCTGTCTATGCATCTCAGCTGTCTATCCATCTAGGCTGTCTATACACCTCAGCTGTCTGTACACCACAACTACTCATATGCATACACCCCAGTTGTTTATACACCTCATCTGTGCATACAAGCTCCAATGCGTCTGTCGTTATGAAAGCGTCTTGATTATGCTGATTATATATGAGCTGCGTATACACCCGGAGCTATTAGAATGCATGCAAGGAAGGAAGGTGTGCATGCATGTTGGGGTGTCTGTACACCCCATTGAGGGTCTTTTTGTTGTCTTCTTAGGCGCGAGTTCGTCATACAAATCCTTTACACCCCCTTACTCCTCGTAGAGTAAAGGCAGGTGAATGTACACCCCAAGATTCACAAGTAAGACAACCACCTACTGCATCCCTCTGTCTCTGTCTCTCTCTCTTTATCTATCTATCTGTCTATCTATCTATCTGTCTATCTATCTATCTATCTATCTCTCTGTCTATATATCTATCTATCTATATATATATATATCTCTGTCTGTCTGTCTCTTTTTTAATTGTGCATTTGTCTCTTCACTGGTCTTCTGGTGTTTGTGTGTTTTGTCTCTCTTTGCTTCTGTCTCCTCGCTTTATATTATATTATTTATCTCTCTTTTTGTCTCTGTCTTCTCTGTCTCCTCGCTTTATATTATATTATTTGTCTCTCTTTTTGTCTCTCTTCACTCCTCTTGTCTGTCTCCTTTCTTTTTTGTGTTTTTCTGCTTTATATTATTTGTCTCTGACCTCTGTTTAGATGCTGTCTCTCTCGTCTCTGTCTCCTTTGCCTATATATATATATATATATATATATAATTACGTTTAATGTCTCTCTTTGCTGTCTCTGTCTGTGTTTATTGTTTTTTAGTTTTGTATTATTTTATTACTTCCTTCAAAGACTGCTGCCTGGGGCTCTGCACGCGAGGCCTACACGAGTATTAAGGGTTTAGCAGCAAAATATAAAACAGACCCTGTTAAGTTGGTCTATGTTACAGCGGATAAGAACGTATGGAAACCCTAAACCCTAAACCCTAAACCCTAGACGGGCCTCACCATCTCCACCCACATGCCTCACACTTCAGGCTTCTTGAGATAAATGCGCTTCCTTCTAGGGTTTAGGGTTTAGGGTTTATATGCGTGGTAGCACGGACCCCGCATTGTTTGTTTTTATGGTTTAGGGTTTAGGGTTTAGGGTTTAGGGTTTAGGGTTTGGGGTGTATCTGCTGCAGCCGGCGTTCGCCTCCGCCTTCGGCTTTGTTCGTGGCAGCAAAGAGGAGCTGCTAGTTGCATACAGACCCAAGAGACAGCGTTACACCGTGAGTTGCTGCTGCATGCATGCATGCATGCATACATACATACGCCTGAGTGCATGCATGCATGCACCTGAGTGCATGCATGCATTCAGGTGTACGTACACCTGAGTAGTGTATGCATGCATGCATGCATGCATGCATACACCTGCATGCATGCATGCATGTAGGTGTATATACACTGCATTGATGTTTTTTTTGTGTTTTTGTTTGTGCTGCTGCGCAGCGGATGACGCCACCTCTGACGAAGACATCGATAGAAGAGTTTATAGACAGAGTAATTGGAGGGGAGCAGCTACCGTACAAGCTAGCAGCAACCCCTGTGCTGGGTGCAGCAGCAGCAGCAGCAGCAGCAGCAGGGTCAGGGGTGGAACAAGAAGCAAGTCGCGACGAGCTTTAAATATATCTGTCTCTTCTTCAAACACCTCCAGCGAGGGTTTAGATAGCAGAGACCAAACCCTCATCGGTTTCTCATCGCTTTACTTTAGGAGAGGGCTAACTGTGTATGGTTTAGTGCTTTAATGGTTTAGGGTTTAGGGTTTAGGGTTTAAAGGGTGTAAGGGGCCCTAGAGTTTCAAGGGTTTAGGGTTTAGGGTTTAGGGTTTAGGGTTTATGGTGTAGGCTTTAGGGTTTAAAGGGTGTAAGGGGCCCTAGAGCTTCAAGGGTTTAGGGTTTAGGGTTGGGGATAAAAGGGGTTTTCGCGTTTTAAGGGTTTAGGTTTTCAGGGGTTTAAGGGTTTAGGGTTTAGGGTTTAGGGTTTAGAAGATATAGAGTTGTTAGAGACAGCGTCTGCATACTATTATATTGGGGTGTATGTGCACCTGAGATTATAATAAATATATTATTATACCCTACGCTTTTTGTATTTAGAGCTGCATGTACACCCCAGCACCCCCTTTGCCTCTAAACGAGTTTATTTTCTTTTTATAAACATGCAAACAGAGAGGAAGCAAACACCTGGGGCTTCATAAGGTGTACGTACACCGCAGTCACTCTTACAACGCGTGCTGCTGCTGTTGCTGCTGCTCCTGCTGCTGCTCCTGCTACTATTGCTGCTGCTATTGCTGCTGCTACTGCTGCTGTTGCTGCTGCTCTATCCTTTGACTGTTGTTGGTTGAGATGAGCCGACGGATGTTGAAGCATACTAGCAACAAACTCAGGTGTATATACAGCAGGTATATATATTATATATATAATATATATGCATATATTATACATATATACATACATACAACATATATATACATATATACATATATATATATATATGTATATATATATATATATATGCACATGAAAGCGCATACATATGTGTAATATATAGGTATATATATACACGTATTACATAGGCAGCCTAATAAACCTACAATACATTATATATAAAAAATATTGTATATACAAACTTATTTAATAAATAATATCAGATGCATTTTATTTAAAAGCTTCTCATCTCGGGTGTATAGGCATCTCGCTAGAAATTATTGCTGTCTGCAGCTCAGCCAGAGAATATACAAAAGAAAAACAAAATATGTGGGTTAGGGTTTAGCGTAAAGAGTAGGGTTTAGGGTTCTTTAGGGTTTAGGGTTTAGGGTTTAGGGTTTAGGGTTTAGGGTTGGCGCTGCAGCCCTTCGGTGGTCTGTGTGCGCTCTGCAGAGAAGAAGAGGGCCTCTTGAGTTTATTTCCTCCCTTATTTTATTTTAAAAATTAGGGTTTAGGGTTTAGGGTTTAGGGTTTAGGGTTTAGGGTTTAGGGTTTGTACGCCTCTTCATTTGGCGCCGCCGCCTTTGACCGGTGGTCGCGTCCAGAGCATCGGTGAAGGCCCGCGCTGCTGCTGCTGCTGCTGCTGCTGCTGCTGTGGCTGCTGCTGCTGCTGCTGTAGCTGCTGTTGCTGCACTGAGTTTCGTTGCAGACGGAAACAGTTTTTTGTGTCTCTTTAATAATATTATCCTTCAGGTGCTGAGTGTTCGCCAGCAGCAGCAGCAGCAGCAGCAGCAGCAGCAGCAGTAGCAGCAGCAGTAGCAGTAGCAATCGAAGCAAAGGCAGCAGCAGCAGCAGCGCATCACCATCCTATTCAATACACATCAAACATCAGAACCTCAGCAATAGCTTCTACAGCAGCAGCAACAGAAGCAGCAGCAACAGCAGCAACAGCAGCAGCAGCAGCTGACGCTACAACGGCAGCAGCAGCAGCAGGACCTTGACAGTAACAACAGCAATAGCAGCAGCCGTAGCAGCAGCAGGGCGACGACAGCAGCAGCAACAGCAACAGCAGCAGCAGCAGCAACAGGCTGAAGGGGTTTCTACTCTTGTGCTGCTATTTGCTGTTGCTGCTGCGCCTTCGCTTCTCCTTTTGTTGCTGAAGTGAAGAGGTGCTGCAGCAGCAGGAACTTGCTGCTGCTGCAGTTGCTGCTGCAGCTGGGTGGTGAAGCAGCAGGAGCTTGCTGCTGCTGCTGTTGCTGCTGCTAGTACGATGAGTGTAGCTTCTTCTGATGCTGCTGCTCTTGTGCGGCTGCTGTACCCTGCTGCATTTGCTGCTGCAGCAGGTGACACCCCACAGGGAGGCAGCAGCAGGAAGGCATTTGAATATGCATTTATAGATAGAAAGACTTTGCTGCTGTCTCCTTCTAGCAGCAAGAAGCCCTTGAGGGTATCTAATACATACAGAGACAGCTGGAGCTGCTGCGTGCAGCAGCAAAAGGAGACAGAAGAAGTTAAAGGAGACAGAAGAAGAAGCAGCAGCAAAAATAGAAGGTAAAGCCAAAGAACAACAGCATATCTTCAACACAAAAAGAGAGACAGAGACAGAGACACAGATAGAGAGACAAAGATAGAGATAGAGAAAGAGACACAGAAACAGAGATAGAGACAAAGATAGAGAGACAGAGATAGAGATACAGAGACAGAGACAAAGACAGAGACAGAGATAGAGATAGAGACAGAGACAGAGATAGAGATAGAGACAGAGACAAATAGAGACAGAGACAGAGACAGAGACAGCAGGAGAGAGACAGAGACAGAGACAGAGACAGCAGGAGAGAGACAGAGACAGAGACAGAGACAGAGACAGAGAGAGACAGCAAGAGATAGAGTGGTAGAGAGATAGAGAGGGGAGAAGCAGAAAGAGACAGAGAGAGAGAGACAGAGACAGGGATAGAGACAGAGACAGAGACAGACAACACCAAAAGAAGAGACAGAGGAGGAGACAGAAAGGAGACAGAAGAGGCACTGAGAATGAAGGAGATTAAGAAGAGAGACAAACAGATTCAAAGATAGTCAATGTACAGCAAATGCACAACACAGACAGCGACGGTGGAAGGAGACAGGGGTACTCCCGAGGGTTTAGAGGAGTTAGGGTTTAGGGTTTAGGGTTTAGGGTTTAGGGTCTAGGGTCTAGGTTTTGATGATTAGGGTTTATTCTTTAGGGGTAAGGGTTTAGTGTGAAGGAATTTTGGTTCTAGGGTTTAGGGTTTAAGGTGTAGGATGTAAGGTTTAGGGTTTAGGGTTTAGGGTTTAGGGGTTGTACAAGAGGTTTATTTCTGTTTTGAGTGTCTCCTTCTCAGTGCGTCTCCTCTCTTCTACGAAGTGCCCTTCGTTGCTCAGCCCGTCTGGCCTCCTAAACCAGATTCTCCTCTAGCAGCAGCAGCAGAAGCAGCAGCATCAGCAGCAGCAGCAGCAGCAGCAGCAAGGATCTGCGACAGGCCCCCTGCGCCGCTGCCCCCCTATCGTGTGTCTCTACCTGAGGGCTTCCCCTCTAACTGCGCACTCTATTCATCTCCTTCTTTAGAATGTAATGAGGGCCCCCCTGGGGGCCCCCACCGTCGTCTTCGCTTCAGCGGGGTCTGCAGCAGTTCGCAAGCTGCTGCTGCGTCTGCTGCAGCTGCAGCAGACGCAGCAGCAAACATACACGCAGTGCCTGCTGAAGGTCTTAATAAACGCAGGAGTCAATATACTCTTATAACTCAACAGCAAAGAAAGCAGTGGGGGGCCCCCCAGGGGCCCCCAGAACTCCAGGGGCCCCCCCAATTCCAGGGGCCCCCCCAATTCCAGGGGCCCCCCCAATTCCAGGGGCCCCCCCAATTCCAGGGGCCCCCTCAATTCCAGGGGCCCCCCCAACTCCAGGGGCCCCCCCATTTGGGGGGGCCCCCCCAACCCCAGGGGCCCCCCCAAATGGATGGGTTGCTGCAAAGGAAGGGGCCCCCCTTGGGGGCCCCAGAGAAATGTGAAGAGGGTAAGGGTTTAGTTGGTGCATCGTTTGTGTGTTATGCGCATAAAGGGAGACATCTGCACTTACTAGATTTGAATACCCCCGTTGAGTTATTGTCTCCTTCTGCTGAGTTTAATGATTGGGGGGGGCCCCCAGAAGAAGTGCTGAGATTTAGAGAGAAAGCCCCAACAAGGGGGCTGCATGCAGCACGTTGTTTAAGTGCCTTTCGCCCACTTAGAAAATGTTCCTACAAGGAGACACAATTTGCTTCCTCTGCTGAGATTGCTGCTAATCCACAGCTAACCCGTCAGCCTATCTACTACAAGAGGGGTCTCCTTCATTAGGGGCCCCTAGGGGGGACCCTAGGGAGGCCCCTAATGAAGTCTCAGTCTTATTGGGAGACGCCTGAGTGTCTCTTGCTGTCTCTTCCTGTTTAAGTGTCTCCTTTTAAATAGAGACAGAGACAGACAGACAAAGAGAGACTCCTAGCTGCTCCTCCTCAGCTGTTAAAGGAGACACATCCACTATTTATTTGCTGTCTCCAAGACACAAGAGGGGGTTGTGAGTGCTGCATGCGCCGCCCCTGAGGTGTATATACACCTCAGGTTAGACTTCTTGACTTTTAATAATCATCATAATATTAATGGGGGGCTTTCTTTCTAGATAGACTGCCCTCTTACGGTGTACAGACAGCAGCATCAGCCAAGGAGACAGCAGATACGTCTTGAAAGGAGACATTTAGGGTTTAGGGTTTAGAGTTTAGGCTGACCCCTGAGCTCTTCAGCATATACAGTGCATAGGGTTTAGGTTTAGGGTTTAGGTTTTAACAGCGGCCGTACGCTGCGTTGCTTAGGGTTTAGGGTTTAGGGCTTGTTATTGTATTGGAGACAGTAGGGTTTAGGGTGTAGGGTTTAGGGTGAGGTGACCGCAGCAGCAGCAGCTGCAGATACACCCGAGACAGCGTTGCTTCCTTTGTTTGTTTATCTCAGCCTACCTACTAACGCATTTAAACTGATAATTCTCCCCCTCAGCAGACATCTATGAAACACAAACAGAGACAGACCAGCAAACCACAGAGGAGACTGCCCTTTAGGGGCCCTCAGGAGACTGTCTCCGTAGGGGGAGGGGGGCCCCAGGAGACTGTCTCCATAGGGGGGGCCCCAGGAGACTGTCTCCATAGGGGGGGGGCCAGGGGACTGTCTCCATAGGGAGGCCCTAACAGGCTGTCTCCACAGGGGGGCCCTAACAGACTGTCTCCTTAGGGGGGCCCCCAGGAGACTGTCTCCATAAGGGGGAGCGGGGGGGCCAGGGGACTGTCTCCATAGGGGGGCCCTCAGGAGACTGTTTCCTAGGGGTCCCTAAGGGGGCCCCAAGGAGACAATACCTATCGCTATAGGGGCCCCCAGGTGGGCCCCCGGGAGACTGTCTCCATAGGGGGGGCCCCCCAGGAGACAGTCTACTGGGGGCCCCCTTACGGTACTGTTTAAGGGGGCCCAAAGGAGACAGTTTATAGAGGGGTCTTAAGGAGACAGTTACTGCTGGGTTTGTTTTTGTTTTGCTATGTCTGTCTTTAGGTTTATTTATTTTAATTTATTTCTGCTGCCTACTAAAGGCTAAACAATTTTCTCGCATGTCAGTGCAAGCCACAGAAGGAGGCTGCTGCGTCTTTTTATGCATGCAGATGTTGCTGCTGCATTTAAAGCAGCAGCTGGAGCAAAAAGGAGACTCCTCCTCCTGCTGCTGCTCCTCCCGTTGCTGTTGCTGTTGCTACTGCTGCTGTTTCTGTTGCTGCAACTGCTGTTGCTGCTGCTGCTGCTGTTGTTGCTGTTGCTGTTCTTGCTTCTTCCGCTGCTTCTACTGCTGCTGTTGCTGCTGCTGCTGCCTCTGTTACTGCTGTCCTGCTACTAGTGCTGCTACAGCTGCTACTGCTGCTATTGCGGCTACTGCTCTTACTTCTGCTGCTGCTACTACTGCTGCTGCTGTTACTGCTGCCATGCTGCTGCTGTTGCTACTGTTCTTACTGCTGCTGCTGCTCTTGCTACTGCTGCTGCGGTTGCGGTGTATCTGCAGGTGCCGCGGTGTATGTGAGGCTGCTGCCTGTTCTGTGGGGTAAAGTGCATTTGTTTGTGTATTTATGTATCGAATTAATTAATCAATTTAATTAATTAATTTAATTAATTAATTATTTATTTATAAACAAATGAATGCAATAAACACTGAATGGGTGGCTTGAGGGGCATGAGGAAGGCAGAGCATGTGGTTGCAGCAGAAAAGGACGACAAAAATAACAATTATGTTTTTATATTGATTAAATAATAAGAATAAGATAAATAATTAGATTAATTAATTAAATTAATTTATTATTTCCCCCTTTTTCTCCGCATTCTGAGGTGTATATACACCGCAAATGTGTGTATACTACACCACCACCACTGCATCGATTGCAACAAGAGATAAGGTTTATTTTCTTCTATATCTTTCTTTCTTCTTGAATTTAAATTGTTATTATCTTATTAATAATTTAATTAATTATTGTTTATTAAGAAGAGTCTGCAAGATAAATGCTAACAAACTCTGTTTGCTCTCTGTTTCTCTCTTTGCTTCTCTACAGGAAGGATTCATAACCGACTGAAGCAGCAGCAGCAGCAGCAGCAGCGGCAGCAGCAGCAGCAGCAGCACAAGCAAATCATTTGCTACTTCTTCTCTCTTTTAAACACCTTTTCGCCTGTCTTCTTCTTCTATCTTACTCTGCACTTACCCCCAGAAGGCCCTACCTTTTGTATCTCTCTCTGTACAGCGGAGAGCTCTATACTTTTTGTCTTTGTTTGTCTCTCTTCTTCGCTGCTGCAGCTTCATAATGTCGCAGAATGAAAGGAAGTCGCTGTTACTGCCTGTGGGGGGAGTGAAGGGTGGTGCTGCTGCCCCCCCCCGTGCTGCTGCTGCTGCTGCTGCTGCTGCTGCTGCTGCTTCAAAGCGCGGCCATGTAGTGCATTCTTCTGAAAGCAGCATTGTTTGTGTTTCTGCTGGTGCTACGCCGCTGCACATGTCTGCTGCAGCAGAAGAAGTAGATTTAGCTCTGCTATCTGAGGAGCAGCAGCAGCAGCAGCAGCAGCCGTGCTTACACGAAGGGCACTCCCAACCTGTTACAACAGCACTATCTGCAATCCAGAGGGTTGCTGCTGCTCCTCGTGCGGGTATATGCGAATCTGCTGCCTCTCTCTCCCAGGTGCAGCAGCTGCAGCAGCAGGTGCAGCAGCTGCAGCAGCAGCTGCGGCAGCAACAGCAACAGCAGCAGCAGCAGCAGCTAACGAGCCCTCTTGCCTCTAAAGAGGAAGCTGCAGCAGATCAGCAGCAGGAGAGCAAAAAGGGAGACGTTCATGAAGCACCAGCAGCAGCAGCAGCAGCAGCAGCAGCCGTAGCAGTATCTTCTTCAGCAGCATCCCCAGAAGCAGCAGAAGCAGCAGCAGCAGCAGGAGCAGAAGAAGAAGAAGAGTACATTGAAAAGAGTGTAGGGCGTGTTCGTTATATTGAAGAGAAGCTGCAATCAATGCATTCAACAATGCTGCGAGCTGTATGTACACCCGAAACAGCAGCAAAGCCACGGGTATTGGTGATAATCATCGGAGGCACAATATGTATGAACTACGCATCAAAAGATGCATGCTTAAAGCCTTCGAGATTAGCAAGAAGATTAACAAGCTGCTCGGAGATGCAAGACAACAGCTTACCGCTGTTTGATGTTCTTGAGTGGGATCAGCTCGTAGACAGCAGCGACTTAGAGCAGCAGCAATATGTTGCTCTAGCCAAGCAAATCGAGGCTTTCTACGACGAATACGAAGGGTATTTAGTGCTGCTCCTGCTTCTGCTGTTGCGGCTGCTGCTCCTGCTGCTGCTGCTATGGCTGCTGCGGCTGCTGCGGTGTCACTGTTGCCGGTGCTGCTGCTGCTGCTGCTGCTGCTGCTCGTGTTGCTCTTGTTGTTGTTGTTGCTGTTGCTGCTGCAGTTGCTTTTGATGCTTTTGCTGCTGATTCTGCTGCTTCTGTCTATCTTGCTGCTCCTGCTGTTCTGTTGCTGCTGCTGCTGTTTTTTTTCTGCTTCGTCTGCTGTTTTTGCGTGTATGTGTGTTTCCCTTTCTGCCTTTATCATCACCAATCTCTTGCTGCTGCTGCTGCTGCTCTTGCTGCTGCTGCTGCTGTTGCTGCTGCTGCATAGGTTTGTGGTGCTGCACGGGACAGATACGATGGCGTACACCGCATCTATGCTGAGTTTTATGTTAGAGAACTTAGGCAAGACAGTAGTGCTCACAGGCTCTACTCTACCAATGAGTAAGGCTTTGCTGCTGCTGCTGCTGCTGCTGCTGCTGCTGCTGCTGCTGCTGCTGCTGCTAATCCTGCTGCTGATGCTGCTGCTAATCCTGCTGCTGATGCTGCTGCTAATCCTGCTGCTGATGCTGCTAATCCTGCTGCTGATGCTGATGCTGCTAATCCTGCTGCTGATGCTGCTGCTGATGCTGATGCTGCTATTCCTGCTGCTGTTGATGTTGATATAATCTTGCTGCTGCTGCTGTGGATGCTGATGCCCATGGTGATCCTACTGCTGAAGATGCTGATACTGCTGTTGCTGCTGCTGCTGCTGCTGTTGCTGCTGCTGCTGCTGCTGCTGCTGCTGCTGCTGCTGCTGTTGGTGGTGGTACTGCATGGGAGTTGGTTGGTGGATGCATTTCTTTGAATTTGTTTTTTACGATTGTCTCTCAATGCCTACTGTTAGTACATTATATATAATATATATACATTTATATATATATATATATATTTATAGATATATATATATATATACTTATATATATGTATATATTATATTTTACTTGCTATGTATATTTTGATGATCTGGATATTGTGTTTGTTTTATTTTTTTATTTGTGTAATTTGTTTATTTTTTATCTTTTATTTATTCGGTTAGTACTTGATATATTTATATTATACATTATATATTATACATTATATTTATTGTGTAATATATATTATATATTATATATTGTATATTATAAATTGTTTATTATGTATATTATATATATTATATGTATTGTATCACAAAACAATGTAACAAATTATATTACATGAAGATAAAATACTAAATAAATAAATAAATTAATTAATTAATTAATTAATTAATTAATTAATTAATTAATTAATTTGTTAATTTGTTTGTTTGTTTGTTTGCGCAGTGCATATATCGAGCGATGCGAAGCGGAACGTAGGACTGAGTTTGTTAGTAGCGAGTTACTCTGAGTTGAAAGAAGTAGTAGTAGTATTTGGCTCTTTTATATTAAGAGGTACAAGGGTGACGAAAGCAAACTGCGCAAGTATGGATGCATTTTCGTCGCCTAACTTCCCGTCTATAGGAAGTATAGGCGTTGATGTTGTTATTCATGATAGATTACGCTTAGCCCCTCCTTTATCTTCTTCATCATTTAAAGTCTTTACAGATATTATTTGCAGTGTATGTACAGTTCAGCTTGTACCCGGTATGCCTATTGAAGTATTAGAATCTATTTTTTCTATCAAACGACGTCCTTTTGCTGTTATTCTTCAACTCTTTGGAGCCGGAACAGCCCCTAATAACCCTTCATTCTATAATGCAATTAAAGGGGCTATTGAACAAGGTATTGAAGTTGTTGCTGCTACACAATGCAGTAAAGGAGCTACAAATCTACTTATCTATGAAAATGGTGTTTGGATTTCTTCTCTCGGGGTAATCTGCGCAAAAGATATGACAACTGAAGCAATCGTCACTAAGTTATATTACTTAATGGGTACGTATAATTAATATATATATTTATTTATATTTATATCTATTTATCTATTTAAATTAATTAATTAATGTCTAAATAAATATATTAAAGAATTAGTAATTCATAGGAAGAGACTGAAGCTATCGTCACTATGTTATACTACTTAATATGTATGTGTTGATGATATAAATATAAATAAACAAATATATATATATATAAATATATATAAATATATATGCATATAAATATATATATGTATATATATATGTTAATAGTCATAGGAAGGAATATACAGAGGCTATCATCACCAAATTATATTATTCAATGAGTATTTATTAATTATATATATTTTAATCAATATAAATATAAATAAATAAACAGATATATAAATTTATTTATGTATACAAATATATATAAATTTATAGAAAGTAATATACAGAGGCTATCCTGACGTCTTTATAATTTATATATTAATTAATATCAATATGGCTGTATATGTATATATATGTATATGCATATATTTATTTATTTATTTATAATATACATTATATATATTTACTTATTAATTTATTAATTAATTAGCACAAATCAATACAAATTAATATACAGAGACTACCATCGCTACGCTGAACGCTTGACTGGTTGTTTATAATATATGCTTAATATATATATATATAAATTAAATTAATAATGTTTATTTAATTATATATTATATATATTATATATATTATATTGTTTATCAGGAAAGGGATACAAAGGGAGACAGCTTAAAGCGATGATGGAGACAGATCTCAGAGGCGAAATAACTGTTTGTTTAAATAAAATTAAAACTAAAACTCAATGTACAGATCCTCAAGACCCCACACAAGACTCGTAAATCTGCTCACACAAATACATGCAAATGCAGCAGCAAATGCAGCAGCAAATGCAGCAGCAAATGCAGCAGCAAAGGCAAATGCAGCAGCAGCAGCAGCAGCAGCAAATGCAGTATATATGCATATACGTATGTATATATTTATATATATATGTTGTATATTTATATGTTTATATATTTATTTATATATTTATATATTTCTCATTCCAGTTTGTATTGCTGCAGTCTGCTGTCTCTGCTGTGCGCAGAGAAGTGATCGAGCAGCAGACTGAAGCAGCAGCAGCAGCAGCAGCAACAGCAGCAGCAGCAGAAGAAAGTGCAGCAAATGGAGCAAGTGAAGCAAATGGAGTAGAAACAGGGGAGGCGTAAGTCTCTTCGCTTTGCTGTCAATGTTAGTGGCTGCTGCTGAGCTGCCTGTTGCGGTGTACGTACAGTGCAGCAAATGCAGCAGCAGCAGCAGCAGCAACAGCAGCAGCAGCAGCAGCAGCAGCAGCAAATGCAGCGAGGGTTTTGTGATTTGCTGTGGCTGTGGTGTATATATACACCGAAGAAACTGCTTATGCTTGTTGAGCTCAGAGTGCAGCAGAAAGGAGACAGGAGACAGCAAGGAGGAGACAGAAAGAGACAGAAAGTGCAGCAAAAACAAACAAACAAAGACAAACAAAAAAAACAAAAAGAGACAGAAAAATAAACAGAGACTGAGACTGAGACAAATATAAAAAGAGGGAGACAACAAATGCAGCAGAGACAGAAAGAAAGGAGACAGAAGGAGACAGCAAATGCAGCAGAGACAGTGTCTCTGTCTGAGACAGACAGAGACATAGAGGGAGACAAAGGAGACAGAAGGAGACAGCAAATGCAGCAAAGACAGAGACGGAGGAGACAGAAGGAGACAGCAAATGCAGCAGAGACAGACAGAGACCTAGAGAGAGACAAAGGAGACAGGAGGAGACAGCAAATGCAGCAGAGACAGACAGAGGCATAGAGGGAGACAAAGGAGACAGGAGGAGACAGCAAATGCAGCAGAGACAGAGGGAGACAAAGGAAGCAAAGAGAGACAGCAGATGCAGCAAAGACAAAGAGAGACAGCAAATGCAGCAGAGACAGAGAGAGACAGAAACAAAGGAGAGAGGACAACGCCAGCAAAGAGAGACAGAGACACCGATGTAAATGCATAAAGAAGTAAATAAATAAAGATATAAATACTTAAAGACAAAGACAGAGACAGATAAAAACAAAGACAGGGAAGGAAAGAGAGACAAACAACAGAGACAGAAGAACGCATTGTAAATTTACGCGAGCTGTTGCTGCTGCTGTCTCTCTTATCTTATCAACAAACAAAGAGGCGGCAGACTGTCTCCTTCTCTTCTATAAAGCTTTGCTTTTATAGAAGAAAGATATATAAATAAATATATATATATATGTTTATATTCATTTATATATATGTGTATAAAACAAGGTGCTTCTTATCCCTTGTTTGTTGTCTCTCTTATGGTGTCTCCTCCTGTCTTTTGCTGTCTCTTCTGTCTCTCTTTTGCTGTCTCCTCTCTGTCTCAGCTGTTGTCTCCTGTCTTCGCTTTTCTTTTAGGGATATGTACATTCATTTGTACATAAATAGATATACACATTTGTATATAGATATGCACATATATATATATATGCATATCTATTTATATATGCATTTGTACAACATATATATATATATATATATATATATATAGGAACATATATATATATATCTTTATTTATTTATTTAT